GGGTAGAAAAGTGGGATCTTTGACAATGAGGCAATGAACTTGTACATTCTTTTGCAGCTGCACAAGAGGGAACATCAACGCCGGATTAACCATGGTGGTGGGGAGGGGGGCTGATACCGACCGTGAAGCCCCGCAAGGGGGTCGGGTCAGGGGGTTCTCCCGCTAAGAAATTTTAATTGGAGGCCGAAAACGTGATTTCATGGCATTTCAGGCACTTGTGTCGGAGCCATTTAGAAATACCTCCCCCAGAAAAATAAAATTCTGCCACAAAATTAGCCACAATCCATGCGGGTGCTGTGAAATTTCTAGAGGAGGGAGCTGGAACCCATGAGCCCGTTAAATTCGCCACTGTAAATGAGCAGAGCTACATCAAACCTAATTTTGAGTCCCTCAGTGATAAATAACTTGATTCAAAATCGTATTATAGCCCCAACGACGATTTGATGAATGGAGACCGTAACGTTACGACAAAGTCTAACACTGTAAGTACCAAATAGTCATACGAGATATGTGCATCTCATCAAATTCAGCTTATACCATACCCACAATAATGTTACGGAGTCAGTGAGTTCAAGTTAGACAATACGCTGACCTTCCACTGACCATGCTTTTAATATAAAATCTGTCAATGACAGTTGATTCATTGTTTAGTTTTTTATATGATATATTTAATATCAATAATATATGTATATGCATGCTTTATTTTACTTTACACGACCTCTAAAAATGCCCCAAATCGTAAAAATACGACTTTTTGGATTTCGATCTCCTTTTTTCGGCTACCCCGGACATTTTCAAAAAATGATACAATGATTTCACACAACAGGCCAGCTATTAGCCTCTCGATTGACAAGAGTTTCATCGCCCTCCATTCATTATAACCAATGTCATCGTGCCCTAAAGAATCAACAAATCAGCTTGCTTATCTCTGCTTACCCTAGGCAAAAAATGCTCATCTTTGAACTCAATCATGACATTGACCTAGTGAACGCCTACACCAAGTTTGAACATTCTAGCTTAATTAGAAGGAGAGTTCTTGTGTTCCAAAGTCCCGGCCCTTCAAATTGCTTCTATTTTTCATTTTCAATTCAAAATGGTGACCATCACGTGACCGAAATCAAAATTCTGATCCGATAGATTTTTAGGCATTCCTTCCAGGATTCCGAAAATATGACGCCCGTGTCTGTAAGTAAAATAGCAAAAAAGCCTTTTTGATTTTTCACGTTTAAAGATGGTGGCACTTCCGGTTCGATCGACAAACTCCATATTTTATGTACGAATCAGTAATTACTTGTCTAGTATCGAATTTTTTTTTTAAGTCATTCTGACCTATATTTCGACGATTTTTTTGAAAACTTTGATCCTTAATTTCACCAAGGGGAGATAATTTAGAAAATTTCCAAGGACATCATTGACGTCGCATTGGCAAGATCTACTAACATTCTAAATTTCACGAAAATCGCACAACTATTAAAGAAGTTGTCAAATTGGTAATAACTTCCGGTTCGAAATGACAGCGACGAATTTTCAAAATGCCAAAATCCGAAATTGCAGATTTGAAGTAAATGTTTCAAGATACTCAAAGAAAAAAGAATTAGTAAAATAGGTCAAATAGTCACAAAGTTACAGCATTGTAGGTCAAATGCATTCCTTCGTAAAATTCGGTGATTTCGGATTCGTAAAACGTTTTGAAAATATATTTAATCAACAGCCACCACCCATTTTTGGGGGGATAGGTAAAAGTTTCAGAACGATCCTATGGTTAGATTCTGAGAAATCCGATTTGTGGACAAAACACAAAAAAAAAATAACAATAATAATCTTAACAGAAACAATAAGCTTTCATATGTAATATGAAAGCTTAATTAAAATTTGACTTTGAATTAATACAAAACATTAGGCCTATAAAAATTTTCACTGGAATTTAAATTGACAATTCAATGATTCTATTTTAAGTTGACCTACATGTACCTGTAAGTAAACTTACCAACATCAACAATTAACCAACAAAACTGACAGTGACAAGATCAAGACTTCTAGCTAAAAAAAAAAAAAAAAAAATATTGTAACATGTAGTACTAGCTAGATTACAAAACAATGACAACTTACTGCTGATTGAAGCAGAAGACTGTACCATCCAGACGTTTTTATTTCTGATTTACTGTAAACTGACATACACGTCATAAGCTGGATGAATAGGACTACATAACGGCTCCGGAAATTTGAATGAGACATGTTTACGTATGTCACCAACATGCCATTGCAATAACGCAATAGAAACCGTTTTTTAAAGTGGAGAAATGAATTTCCAACATCGTTTTATGATTAAGTTAGATTAAGACGAATTCTATATTTGAAAACTTACATAATGTTCCACAATCTTCTTGAAGTTCTTCTGTGGATACGTCCTTGAAAATCTTGCGCGTGTGAAAATTTCATTTTATAAATGATATTAAAAAGCTAATTATTCCTTCAATTTGGCCTATCTCGGCTCCTAATTGAGTTAGAAATTCAGCGCACGCAGTTTTATAAAATTTAGCATTCCCTCTTTTTGATTGGATAAGAATTCTGGATCTCCTGTGTGTCACCATTAGCTACGAAGCGACTAAATCCGAAAATCGTAAAAATCTGTGTGTCACAAAATTTTACGGCGAGAAAATCCCTTGATAAGCCGTATACGCTTTTCAACGGACGATTTCTCGGCAGGTAATTAGGGTACCAAAATATAAATAACATCATTGAAATGCCAATTCAAATCATACCATATAAATCATATTAAGTACAGACATCTACTTACAAATTAGTGTTTTGTAATGCGCGTCCTGATTTTTGACGCCATCGATGAAAATTAGCCACGATGACGTCACAGCATTCATAGCCCTACTTAGGGCCTATTGAAGTATCCCGCCAGTTTTCGCATTAATAAGATAGTACTCAGTAGTATTGGGTAAATCGTTCTGTTCGACCTTCTAGCCAGGGAATTGTAGTGGATGCATGTTAAATCGTCCACAAATATTAAAATACCTGGTACGGTGTCATTTCGGTCCAGCGTCATTTCGGACTTACGAAGTCTGTTGAATTTCAACAATTTCAGTAGATTACTTCCAGAGTTATGGCCCTTGTTTTAGTTTTTAGAACCTTGTGAACCCACAAACGACAAAAATTATAATGTCATCTGTATGAAACTGTCTATTAAATTCCCCTGATTACCTACAAAAGAATAAATATGCGACAACCCTTGTCGACTTCTCGGACGATTTAGCTGCTGTGGGCGTATGTTTTGTTGCCTGGCAACCTATCTTTATACATGTAACAGAAAAAAATTCTCAGAAACCTTCTGTGTGGTTATGTCACATGAGAAGCATAACCAAAAGTGATTGGTTAATAGGTGAATTCGTTAGGTGAATTCATTTCCTTGATTGTCACTTAACTTTTTACCGAGGTGAGCACATTATGCTATTTGTTTCCGACGAAGCGACGACTTGAGCGATTATATCAAACATGTCAGATGTTGGCGACCATCGCTGCGATGGCCTCTGGCGACAACAAATCCCTGGCGACTGAGTGTGCACACTGGGCGAGTTTATGATTTTTCATCGTCACTGCATCGATTATCATGACATTCGAGACATTTTAATGTGTAATAGTTTTATATCCACCACTATTGGTAATTGTATCTGTATCGACAAATCTGATATCGGTAAAACCGATAGTAGTCATATCGGACCATATCACTATCTGTGACCAATGATCACAAAACTTTGTGCATCGACTGATTGATAATTGCTTGACTGTATGTTATTAACCACCAGTATAAAGTCAAAAGAAAACAAAACCACTGATATATATTATACCTGTCATAATCTGATGTAATGAAATAATTTTAGTAGACAAAGATAATAAAATTATTTATATTACATGTATGGACTCTACCACTATGTTGAAATGAACTGACATCCTACTTTCCTGTACGAACAGGACTAATGAAGAAAAGCATACACCACTGGGCTCTTATCATTGCGCCCCCCTCCCCTCCCCCATCTATATGCAATTTTTAAATAAGGGAAGCGAAGAAACCTATTGAATTACAGCAGTTTTCGTTTATTACTTCTAGAGTTATGGCCCTTGTTTCACTTTGTTTAACTTTGTGAACGCTCTAACCCAAAAAGTTATCCAATCTTTCTGAAATTTATATGCATTATTTAAATGTGTGAAACGAAGAAGCTTTTTGAATTTCAGCAATTTCTGTGTATTATGTCTTGAGTTATGGCCCTTATTTCACTTTATTGAACCTTGTGAATGCTCTAACATCAAAAGTTATCTGCCGATCTGTATGAAATTTACATGTGTCATTTAAATTAGTAAAGAGAAGAATCCTATTGAATTTCAGCAATTTCTGTTTATTATTTCTAGAGTTATGGCCCTTGTTTCACTTTGTTCAACCTTGTTAATGCTCGATTGATGAAAGTTATCATCCGATATGTATGAAATTTATATGCATTATTTAAATTTGTGAAACGAAAAAGCCTGTCAAATTTCAACAATTTCTGTAGATTATTTTCAGAGTTGAGACCCTTGTTTCAATTTGTAGAACCTTGTGAACCCTCCAACGGCAAAAATTATAATCTGATCTGTATGGAACTGTCTTGTAAAGGCCCCCCAATTACCTACAAAGGAATAAATATGCGACAACCCTTGTCGACCGCTCGGACGATTTAGCCGCTGTGGGTGTATGTTTCCTTGCCTGGCAACCTATCTTAGTTAGTATATCCAGTCTTTCAACTTTTAATTGAAAGTAACGAGTGCCATTATTGGGTAGATCAAATATTAAACAATTGAGATGGATGGATACCTGTACATTTTCTGTGAGGCTTAAAAATTAAATGAAAACAGGAAGAATAACCTCTTGTGAATTGTGATTTTTGGGGTCTTCGACTCTTCTAACCAATAACCAGATAGTATCACTCAACATAAATATTTTTTTCTTTCTAATTTTGTAGAGGAACACAGCTGTGAATTTGGATCAACAAAATATTTTGCATTATGTGCGTTCGGAGGCGTTTTAAGTTGTGGTATTACACATACAGCAGTTGTACCCTTGGACTTGGTAAAATGTAGAATTCAAGTAGATGCTGCTAAATACAAGAACATCTTTCATGGATTTAAGCTAACGGTTGCAGAAGAAGGACTGCGAGCTTTAGGAAAGGGATGGGCTCCAACATTTATTGGTTACTCCATGCAGGGTCTTTGCAAATTTGGTTTTTATGAAGTTTTTAAAGACGTTTATTCCAAACTCCTAGGGGAGGTATAAGCTTATTCATTTATTTCCAACCATCATATTATTAATGGACTATCAAAAGAAGAAAGTTGCAATCTGATTAAAACACAGATCCATTTTCGTTTTATTTTTTTTATAGTTCAAAATTTTATTTTACTTGTCTTTACTATACTAGGATCTGGAATAGTTGTTATATTGCCAGTAATTTGGTTAAAGTGATGGATTACCAATGCAAACAGTCTGTTATGACGATTTCTTGGCATGCCATGCCCAGAACTGTGGGTAAACCACTAGAAACGTCATGTCGGACATCATAGGGTCAAAAGCCACTCATATGACCTCTGACACGATCTTTCAGTACAACTTGTCAGATAGATCTTCATGTAATGTAGGCCATTGAAATATAGATCTGTATTTTAATCAGATTGAGGGAATTGCAAGGTGCTCTAGAGAGTTGATTATTGAATTGTCATGTAAATGTCTAAATACTAATTATTAAATAATTTATATAACATTTGAAGCCAAGAGAAAGAAAAGGAATTACATCTTTAATTGTGTGGGTTAAGTAGGCCTAAGTAGAAAATGCTTGAGTGTTCTTTAAAGTTTAAATAAAACTATGAAGACATCACATGTACAGTAAGTTTTCAAATATTAGGATGATTTCTAATAAGCTTTTAAAGAATTAATAAACAAAACGGACACACCTCATGACATGATTATGCTCTATACGTGTAATTCTTTTATTTCTTTTTTATTTTACAGGAAAATACGTTTTTATGGAGAACATCATTGTATTTGGCAGCTAGTGCATCAGCTGAATTCTTTGCAGATATTGCACTCTGTCCTATGGAAGCTATTAAAGTAAGAATTCAGACACAGCCAGGCTGGAGTAATACACTGAGAGAAGGATTCCCTAGAATATTGAAAGATGAAGGCATGACTGGGTTAGTTGTCACTCTTTTTGGGCGTACTACATGTACTTAATTTTATATTTTTAGTAATTAGTATAGCAGGGTACGAAATAACACGCGAATGGTCGTTCAGCTTATGCATTGGTTACCATGACCCGGAAACATGCGAGCTATAATTTATAAACTGAAGATTTCAGTTAAAATATTCCCCCCACTCCTACGTTAAAAACATATTTCAATCATAAATAATTACCTGAAAGATCCTTAAGTTCGCACCTGTCATTTGGCGGTAGCGAATCAACTCGCGGACACATCATACCTGGCAATGTCATTAGCAAACAAAAGCGCCAGATCAATCAACTGATTAGGGTTTCACACTGCGTAGCTTGTGTGAAACACTATTGTTTTTGTTCAGATTATTATTCTTATTATTATTATTATTTTTCCATTTGAGTATATGTCAGAAACTATTGTCGGATCGATTCGATGTCTTCGGTTTTACTGGGAAAGTGGGTTTGACTTAAATTTTAAAGCTATTTCTAACGTTCTTCGACAATGCGAAGTTGTCGTTTTTATACGCCCACATTTTCATGTGGACGTATATTGTCGTCGCCCCCGTCCGTCCACAATTGTTTGTGAACAGTCTACAGGTCACATTTTTTATCCGATTTCAATGAAACTTGAAATATAGGTTTATCACCCTAAGATCTCGGTTCCTTTCGATATTGGCATCTATCGGACCGTAACTTCATGGATTATGGCCCCTGATTGTACAAAAAATCACATTTTTGGCTTGTGAACACTGTAGAGGTCACAAATTTTATCCGATTTTGTTGAGACTTGAAATGTAAGTTTATAACCCAAAGATCTCAGTTCCTTTCGATATTCGCGCATATCGGACCATAACTTCCTGAATTATGGCCCCTGATTGTATGTAAAAACGCGTTTTTTGGCTTGTGGACCCTATAGAGGTCATAATTTTTATCCGATTTAAAAAAAGGTATGAAAACTTGAAATGTAAGTTTATAACACAAAGATCTTGGTTCCTTTCGATATTCGCGCATATCGGACCATAGCTTCATGAATTATGACCCCTGATTGTACGCAAAAACGCGTTTTTTGGCTTGTGGACCCTATAGCAGGGCTCGTATTAGCGGGCGACGTGGTCGAAATAGTCGCCTAACCCATTGATGACTTCGCCCTAAAAGGCAATAGGGCGAAGTTGAAGTCGCCCTAACTTCGCCGTACATTTGTGCAAGGGCGAAGTAGGTAACAGGCATCGATATCAACGGTAAACAAAGCATTTTCAAAACAACACAACACGTTTTCGCATTGTGAGCTTCGAAAGGAAAACTGAAAATTAAACAAGTTGTGAAAAGCAAAACATGTATTAATATTTTGTTTTTCGACTTTCTCTGTGTTGGCTGTGACAATGTTTAATAGTTTCAATGATAAACATTGTATTTGATGTCAACAGGAAATACAATTCTTTAAAATAAAGCGAAGGAATCGAATCATAAATCTCCGTTACAACCGCTGGCTTCGCCCAGAAATAACAGCCAATCAAAAGCTGCGATGGCCAATATGGCGGCGGATACGATATTTTTCATGTATTTCTGTCTAAGAATAGACAAAGTACTGAATTGGTTCTCTTTCTTTGAAATAATTTAATAATAAAAAGAATAATAAACATAAAACTTGTGATTGAAAGGTGACAAATGGTCATTGTTGTGTCAACATGGACCGGTACAGTCAATAAAGAACAACACGTGTGACGAGTGAAAATAGCGTTGGCGTACATTTCGTACATATGACTATCCTATTGTGAAAGGTGCTAAAACAATCACACAATAGACCCAGGCAGGACTAGTAATTAAATGTATTTAGGCACGAAAGGGTATAAATATTGACGTATTTGATAGAGGGATATCACAAATCTTATTTGTATTGCTAAAGACAAGTCTGTCTTAGTAGGCCTACTAGTATATATAATTTATTATCACAGTAATTTTGATACCAGTATAAAGAGTATGATGACATACTGAAATAATGTGTGCAGCTAAACAATGTTTGTTTATTTATTTAGCATATTGACTGTGTAACGACTTGGTTAAGATTGGTTGCAGCAATGCATGAAATATGACCTCTCCTTCAAGTCTCCCGATGTCTCCCTCACTTCTCTAAGGAAGGTTGAGGTCGGATTTCGTGAAAATTGGCCCAAAACTGACAGACAACATGGCCGCCCTTCGTTCTCAAATAGCGTAAAAATATGGTATATCAAGGTTGTGGACCCTATAGAGGTCACAATTTTTATCCGATTTTGTTGAAACTTTAAATGTAAGTTTATAACGCAAAGATCTCGATTTCTTTCGATATTCGCGCATATTGAGCGTAACTTCATGAATTATGGCCCCTTATTGTATGACAAATCGCGTTTTTAGCTTGTGGACCCTATAGAGGTCATTATTTTTATCCCATTTAAAAAAACGTTTTATTATATCACCGTTAAACCCTAAGGACGGTTGAGTTCGAATTTCGTGAAAATCTGCCCAAAACTGACAGACAAAATGGCCGCCGGTCGTTCTCAAATAGCGTAAAAATATGGTATATCAAGATGGTGGACTCAATGGAGGTCACAATTTTTATCCGATTTTGTTGAAACTTGAAATGTAAGTTTACCTAAAGATCTCGTTTTTTTTCGATATTCGTGCATATCAGACCGTAACTTCCTGAATTATGGCCCCTGATTGTATGAAAAATCACTTTCTTTTTAGCTTGTTCTCTATCCATCTCTCGAAAATGTGGGCGTAAACTCCCTGGCAGCGGCTGGTTATTTTTATACGCCCACATTGAAATGTGGTCGTATATTGTTGTCGGTCCATCAGTCCGGCGGTCCGGCGTCCACAATTGCTTGTGGACGCTCTATAGGCTAAAGTTAATATCCCATTGACTTTAAATTTATACAGTGTTTAAGGTCATGAGATGAAGAAGCCTTTTGATTTTCAGCGATTTTCGATAATTACTGCCAGAGTTATGGCCCTTGATCACTTCAAAAAATCCTGTGGACGCTCTAGATGTCAAAGTTAATATCCGATTGATTTTAAATTTATACATAGTGTTTAAGGTCATGAGACGAAGAAGCCTATTGATTTTCAGAGTTATGGCCCTTGATCACTTTGAAAAATCTTGTGGACGCACTAGAGGCTAAAGTTAATATCCGATTGACTTTAAATTGATACACAGTGTTTAAGGTCATGAGACGAAGAATCCTATTGATTTTCAGCGATTTCCGATAATTTTTGCCATAGTTATGGCCCTTGATCACATTGATAAATCTTGTGGACGCTCTAGAGGCTAAAGTTGATATCCGATTGACTTCAGGTCTTGAGACAAACATGTATATTGATTTTCAATGAATCTTTGTGACTTGAACAGCTAAAGTTTCGTATACTAAATGTTAGCATGGGGCAGAACCAATTCTAATGAGTTGTTACTCTTAATTAGATTTTAATTAAGGGGGTGGACAGTAGAAAATTTCAGTTTTATTAATAATTGAGGTAAAGTCACCATTCTTACACATCTAAGAACACATCCATTGCGTATTACAAAAACGGCCAAAAAATTTTCCTATGGGTACCTGTTGCTATGGAAACGGCGGCCATCTTGGATTTCTGCGTATAATTTTAGTCATCCAGTTTCTCAGAAACTATTCAACAGAATGTTTTAAAATTAAGCAGAGAGGTTACTGACATGTACCTTTGTGCAATAGGCAAGTTTCATTACAAAATAATAATTAGAAAGCAAGTTATACACATTTTAATGCTAACTTCAAAATTCTTTCACGTGTCACAGTTGCTATGGCAACAATATATCAGGAACTATTTTGCAGATTTCAATAAAATTCTCCTATTGCACAAAGTTATTATATAGGAAGTTATATTCCAAGTTTCAAGAAAATCTGACGATAACTTTCAGACATATAGCATGACTAAAATTGGTAACTCTAGAAAAAAACTGTTTTGAGAAATCAACAACTGAAGTTGAAGTATTGCAGTAGAACAACTTATGCCGATCTTTTCAATTCATTTATTTAATATTAATAAACTGACTTTTAATATATATATTTTCTAATGTATTTCTTATCAATATACAGTATTTTCTTATTTTATTTCTTGTGTGTAAATTTACAACCGAACATTGACATAGGAATAGATGTTATTCAAAACAACCATAACTATATAATAATCACTGACAGCAGGCCTACCTGGTAATGGTATTGCAACCATACCACTACTAGGTCTAGCAGACGAATATTCATCTTCATTTTGTTTATTATGAGTGTCTGCCATACTTATTTAGTCATCTAACAATTTCAAACGCATTTTATTTGAAAATCTTCAAAAATATTGATAAACAGTGACGTACGGTTCAGTAATATAACAAGGATTGATTTGGGACATGAGCTTAGTGCGCATGCCTATTGACCTGACCTAGAGGATTGCCCGCTTCTGATTGGACACTTCACCATTGACCTATGTGACCAACCAATCAAATAACGTATTCTCGAAATAACCTCATTAGGTATGCAAAACTTGTTCTTGCTTGCTATTTTTATCTCAATACAGAAGAAAGGTTTCAAGACACCCCCATAAAACGTCATTTCCTTTCAATAGGGGAAATCCCAAGCTTTCTAACAGTATCCAACATGGCGACAGTTTACCGGTCGGAAGCCGAGTATTTCACGTATGAAATGCCTATTTTTAGATTTATATCAATAGTTTTAGCGGAATTAGGGCAAAATAAAAAAGGGTGGGATCATTCAGAACCAAATTTTGTAGAAATAAAGAAGAATTTTGTGAAAAAAATGACTGGTATGTTTTCCTAGATAGTGTTACTCGCAGATAATCATAAAACCTCAAAAACGATTTTATTGTTAAAATTCACCAAATGAAGTGCGAACGACGGCCTTTTAATGTATTATAAATGTTTCATTACCGAAAAAAGTAAAGATATGCGACAACTCTTTTTGACAG